ATCACCGTAAACATCAGAAGCGTTAACTGTGTTTCATTTATTAGACCTTTATATTTCTAATACAATCGTTGACGTAGAATCATTTGTCAATGAGTACTCAGTTTGTAAATCGACAGATAAACGAAAATATTGAATGAAGAGAAAACAGTGTTCTATTAAAAGTCTATTACAAATTATATTTACTTGATGATATTTATTTTTTTTCCATATTTTTAACACTGCATAAAAATACTTAAGACTAAAATTCGTACAATTTGAAAACAATTTACGCTTCGATGAATTACGCGGATATAATATGTGTATACGTGTAATTTGTAGGGGCAAGCGTTTTTTAAACATAGTATACATACTCATTTGTAACACGTAGAAAAGGAATCATTGATTTGCACATAATACAGTATTTCTTTGGTGCATTACCTGACTGAAATACAGTCTTTTTAAGGATACTGTACATGTGAAGGATTGTATTCGTAATAGCATTAACATAAATTGAAAATAATATTCAAGCAAGAAACCTTTTACATACACAAGATGCTTAGGTAAATATATTTGTTTGAAACATTTATTTTTAAATACACATATGGTTCATACGAGTGAAAGAAATCTCTTCGAAAGTAAAAGTGAAAATCAAATATCAATGCTAAAGTAACAATCACATTGCATTAGGTGTACAATTCATCCTTTTACATACAACATTTAAACCTTCTTACAAATAAACAAGTAAACATATAAGTATCTAAAAAACAGTTATTGTACAGCAAGTAGGTACATTTCCCTATTACTATTTCATGCCTTGGCAATTGATTTTTGGAATGTCTGTCACCGTTAAATAATTACAATAAAATACATTGTAGTATCGCCGTCGTTATGCTCTCAAAACTTAACATTAACATGAAGTAACATCTACAATAAGTTACATGAAAAAGTTGTACGTCGGATGCCTTTTATGTGAGGGTTGTTTTCATTCATTAGACAGACTTGGAAAAGATCACAACACATAATACTGTTCTGTTACAGGATTCCACGTAATCGAAAAGGAAAACATAGAAAATTAATGAAGTACAGGCTTGAACGTCGGATCGTAAACTCTTGTCACGAGCTTTCTCATACGTGGCTAAAGAGATTCGTGTGTGTCGTTTCTATTATTTTCCTTTTCCGGGCGTCGTAAAATTAATCTAGCTAAGTGGCGAACTGAGAAAGAGAAATACTGGAATATTTTTACAGTTTTCTTAAATATCCTGAGCTATTGAGAACTATTGGCACAGGTCGCCTCGTGCTCGGTACGCGAGTAATTTGCAGGATAGCTGGAGCAGGGGATGAAACTGTATTTAAATCATGATTCTTGCATGCCACAAAGTATATGGGTCTATGGTAAAACATGAGGAATGTGACGAATAAATACACAAACTATATGTTAATCGTGTTGTTAGTTAAAAAACCGTAATAGCGAGTGTTGATTGTGAATCCATAGTTTTCTTCGGGTTGATTACAGTAAACGCAATTCGTTCGACTGCACCTGAAAACAACGATACAGGTTCATTCAGTGTCCACATACTATTATACTATACAATTCAATCTACTCTTACATCTAGCTCTATAGACATAAATAGATCTTTCTAAAAATTATTAATTGTATTCTGCGCTGTCGACTTGTGTCTTTTCATGCAGAATCTTCTACCGACTATCTTTATCACATTGGTAGAAGTTAACATTTTATTGATCTGATGACTTGGCGAATTTTGACAACAATTAATGGGTTAATTAGTTCCATTTATAAACCAACAGATCATCTTAGCAACATGGTCCTAAATTTGTGGGACTTCGTATTTAGAAGAAAATCATTTAGCTTCTTTTTAGAAGGGATCAATTAGTGAGCTAACAGTGATGCTGCAGATGAAAGCGTTAAGAAAAGAGATCTTCAGAAGACGGTTGCATTGTTTTGCATAATTACCCTTCGTGTCTGATCGTCGTGTCTTTCTCGAAAAGTGCCGTCGTTCACCTGAAGCCAGTCATCCAGTCTTCCCGGAAGTTTTTCCGGCGCGGTACTTCGATCTTGGTTTTTTTCTTCCTGATCAATCGTGAACTCGATCCCGTTCCTCGTTCTCGAAATGGGCTTGTTCATGCCTTCGGTGAACAGGGGCAATGATCTCTTGCCGATCACGTCCAGCAGACGACGGTTGGCGTTGACTTGCTGTTGATCTTGCATCGCCTTGCGCCGAGCCAGCTCTAAAAGCACTCTCTGCCGCAGCACGTCCAAATTGTTCACAATTGACAAGGATCCAATTCTCTTTGTCCTGACCAGCGTTGATCCAGGATCGTTACTCGAGTCGAACATCTCGTTCTATAAATTGCAGGCATTCGATTATTTTCAAATGACTAGGCTTATCTTATGAATCTATACTAGGTGAATGACCTAGAGGTATTTCCTCAGATGTGATGAAAGAGAGAGAGAGAAAGAGAGAGAGAGACTATACAAAATATTTCCAAAAATTATGCTAAGATCATTTCTTCAGAGTTCTAAAGATCACTCATTTTCATATTACAGTGTACAATAAAGTTATTACTTCTTTGATATCAAACGTGATCTTCTTATTGGACCTAGTACAGGTTTTTAAATAAAAACGTAACGGCACTGTAAATTTATCATTTTTTTTAGTGAAGTGTTCATGTTTTTAAATTGCAAATATACCTTTAACAAGAGTGTAGACAGCCATTGTTAGTGACATTATGATGCTCAAAGCTGTTGACAACGACAAATTGCATATAAAATATTTGTCGTATCATCGCAACTGGTGGATAAACCTTCCTTTATATCCATAAATTAGTAATTTTAATATTGCTTGCTAATATACTGGTAACGCTCGCTAATACTGCGGCGGCCTTTGAAAAATAACGACATATTGTTGAGAGAGAGAGAGAGAGAGAGAGAGAGAGAGAGAGAGAGAGAGAGAGAGAGAGAGAGAGAGAGAGGAAGCATGTACATTATCTCATGCTTGTTGCAAATATAAAACTATCTTTAGAGTAGAAACATTATAAAACGCAAAAAACGATGATTGGATCGAGAGGGCTTGCAAGGGCACGGAAAAGGTCGTTTCGTCTACGACGTTCAGGGGGACATAACAACGAAACAATCGTGCCGTTACATCTTTATTTCGATCGTTATTTCTCGAGATTAAATTTCAATTTATTTATTCAGCCGCGTCCAAGAGTGTCGTTCGTTGGAACTCGTTCATTCGGGTAATGGATCGGTCCGAAAGCGAAAGCATTCTTACCCCTTTTTATGTGGCAGTTAATTTTTTCGACGCCCGGAGTGAGAAACCGGCGATGTAAAAACAAAGGTCGTTCCGGTACACGTTCATCTTAATTTCCGTCCTCAATATTTAGGGCTTATTCGCGAAACGAGAGGTATAATTTCTGTTTCGTATACGCGGACGATATTATTCTCCGAACCTATTCTCCACGTGTCCGGCAATAACGGAGAGAAATAATGTTGCGGACTATGAAAAATGAGGCTCGCGACGAAAACGATTAGGGGAATAATTTCCAAAAGGGATCGCGTGAATATTGATAATGTACAGCGCGAGAGATTCTCCGTGCACAACGCGGCTTTTTTCCCTCTCGCGGAAACTAAAACGATTAAGCGGACCGTGTTAATTCGCTCGGACGAGCTGGCAAACGAAAAATTAACGCGTCAATTATTAGCAGCGCGGCGCGCGCGCGCGATGATTATGTCGTTAATAAAAGAAAAGGAAAATGGGAGGCAGTGTGTGCAACGACTTATAGATTACCGTTACTATGGAGCAAATGCACCTTCGCGGCGAACGGAGCAGAAAAATAAAAGGAACTGGATGTAACGATCCTCATATGTGCAACGCGCTACCATCCTTGCACGATATTTCCCTCATTTTATTGCCACTTCCGCAGCACACAAGCTCAAGAATATGAACAAAAAGCTCGGCGGCTCTCATTTCGAAAAAGGTCCACGCACCCGAGGTCGGAATTCTTTGCGTTCAGCCGTGCCTTTAATGTTCACACGCGTCCCTCGCCCTTAATCCACGCTTGCGATCGGTGGGGAGACAAATTTAAATATTTCGGGGGCTCGGTGAATGCGTTCGTTCAGCTAGAAACCTCCAGTTGTGATCGTTTGTGTTTGGAACAATGAAATGTAATTATTTGAAATTGATTGCGCACGTGTGTGTGTAAATATATTAATTATTTAGAGACAATTGAAATAGAGACTGCGGAAAAGTCAGTACGCCATTAGAAGTAGTTGTTCCTTTTTATCTCGACTTCGGAATTCTTTTCTTGTTTTTTACAGTCGTTCAATTTATTCAGTATATGAATCAATGCGCAACCCTTTCTTCATGCTGTTTATTTATTGGCAATTAAAACAATGAGTGTGACAAGATTAATTTCCTCATTGAAAGAAGCTGACTTTATTTTATTTTGCGATACATCTTTGTTGCTTTCGGTTACTAAGTGGAGAAATTTCATATATTTTATTTATTTATTTTCATAAAATATTAACCAAAAGTATGGAAATTATGTAAATATGTTTTAAACGATTTTTTATTAACTGACCGAAGAGATCAACCAACAGTTTGACACCTCGAGATCAAGTTTATTTATTTATTTATTAATGCTTCAAACCAGAGATGGTTTATTTAGCAAATACAGGATTGTTGTACGTACATGTATTCGATATTACTTATTATTAGTCTCTAAATTCTCTTACTGAACATTGATTAATGAAATTATAAATTATTCTTAGTCCTTTGCAACAACGTTGAAAATCTTTATGACATTAGGTGACGCAGGTGGACAAATTTTTTAACGATTGCACGTGCCTTTTTTCTTGTTGAAGTCGCTGGAAGCAAAAATCTTATCACGTATAAATGATAACGAAGCTTCTCCTGGAAGTAGGTTCCTATCTAGTAGGTAATGGCGGCTGCACTTGAGCTCGTTTTAATTAACGCGCGAAAGAGAGAACCGGAAGAATGGCACCTCGTGGGACGATAACGCGGCATTTATATGCGCGCCTTAAATCGTCCGGTTGCCGCAGTCAATTTTCATATATTATTTCCTTACCGAGCACAGACATTGGTCCATCGTGATTAGCTTGTCAGAAATCTATGTTAGACCAGGCACCTATTATCATTTCTCATTTGGGGGTATTGTTCACCGGCACCGTTTCATATTCATTTCTCTGGATGCGAAAGATCTCTTCGTTATGTCAAAACTATGGCCATATCTCGGACAATTTCTGACTCATATTCGCGAGGTACCATACGGTAAAACGAGTAATTGTTATATTATTTGCATTTACATCTATTATTATAGCATTCGGAAATGATTTTTATTGAATTTTTATGTTGACATTTATAGAATCGTCTGTTAATGCTTTTAGAAAAAACTGAAAGAAAAGCCTGAACTCGAAGTGATCATTTGTTCTAGATTTGTATTCATTTATTCATGAGAATAATAACGCATTTTGAATGCAAGACGTAGATAGCGATAGTGAAAAGAGGAAATCAACCTGTAATTCAAAGGTTCAAATTGGTTTTCGAGGCTGTACGTGTATATAGAACTTTACACAATTTCCATAGATTGACAGTAATAAACAGGATCTAAAGCTTCTATGGTCTCTCGACAGAAGTCATTTGCGCTTTTAAACAAGTCGAAGCAGATTCTGAGGTTGGCGCGAAGAGGTGATAATCGTATGTAACAGCATGAAGTTAACGAACTGTTTCCAGGATAGGATTCAGCAGAGTGAACGGTAAAGATGGACGTGAGTGTAAAACTAAGTAACATAACACGAGTCTGGACCTGTGCTCAAAGAGAACAGAATTTAAACACCAAAGTAATGCAATTCACGATGTACAATATTTGCACAGATTGATCGCGAATTAAAAAGACATTTCCTTAAATAATTCAGTGTAGAATTATTTATACACACATTCGAGATTGAACAGTTTCGTCAAAATTGCGCTTTTGATGGCTGCTCAACGACCAAGTAACTTGCATTGCAAGCTTATATTCTGCAAAATTGGTAACTTTTTAAGCTAAGAAATTTAAGTTTGTAAAACAAATAATGTTTACGACCACCAAGATTGCCATATTGTCTTACCGATTTTTACTGGAGCAATCATGTAATTGTCAAACGTTTATGTTAATATTCATCGTGCCACATCGATGTATTTAATTCTTTAAAGCATAAATATTTTCATCTGTGTATTTCTATGTTTGTGTATGTGTAATTCCATAATTGCAAATCAATTTTTAAACTAACTTTCACATGATTATCGAAAGAAAATTAACGTCCCTTGTGGTAGAAGCTCTTGCGAATGCTTAGAAAATGAAACATAATGTCGAATCGAATGAAGTTTATGCGGTTTAGAATTATACAGGGTGTCCTACAGGTTTTAATGTTCAAGCTTTGTCAGTACATTCTATGGCACAAAGTAAGAAAAAAATGTTACGTGAACACAGGTCATATAGAGCTTTATTAAGAAGTTATAACAAAAATTCAGAATAGGAATAGTAATCGACTAAAGAAGAAATAAAAAATAGAAAAAAATCTTCGATCGATGTCAATCATGTATTGTCAACAACGATTATTAATACATTTCGAAATGTATTAATAAACACAGCTAACATAAACGCACGGCATCTGCTGATCTATTCAAGCGAATGCTCGCAGTAACAGCAAGTTGATTACTATTCCTATTCTGAATTTTTCTTATAACTTCTTAATAAAGCTCTATACGACCTATGTTTGCATAACATTTTTTTCTTACTTTGTGCCATAGAATACGCTAACAAAGTTCGAACATTAAAACCTGGGACACCCTGTATATTCTTTGTTAATTTAGTGTGACCGTCGCATACACGAGCATGATCGTTAAAGGGATAAGTGAAAATATTTTTCCAAATTAACACGTTCCGTGCCACGTGTACCATCGATGGTACACGCTTGCATGTTTACTTAGTGAACTGAACAAATTGTTTACAAGAAATTTAGAACCGAAGAATCAATTTCCACCGCAAGAATGGGCGTTGATAAGTTTTTGTTACGTTGTTATGTGTACGAGAATTAATAATTGCACGTAATACATCAAGTTTTAGTAAAATATCAAAGTGTGAAGAATCGAGTAAAAAAAGCTCGGCACGGAACGTGTTAATAATCAGCACCGGCCGGTATGTGTAAATACGTATCGTATTGTACGATGGTGTAACGTCTGTATACGCGACCGGTAAATAAACCGGAAGGCAGATTACGCGGGAGCATTTGATCGTTTATATCACCTCGGCGAGATACATCGACTCTCGTTCTCGATTCGCATTCTGAATTCAATTCCATCCACGAAGTAGTATCTGCGGTGTCGTTTCACGACAAGTCAATAGTTAGGTAATGGACACACGGTGTTCCGACCTACGCGAGGACACGATGTAACAGTATTATTCGTCGCGTATGCATTATTCTTAGAGGCCACACACGAGGATTTTAGTCAGTCGTTCGTTACCGATTCAGAACGTGCGACTGTTACATCTGCGGTTGCAAGGAAGAACACGCGGCATGTTACACATGTTCGCACTTTCGAGATACTGTTGCTTAAAGTTTTGATGTTTAAACTTCCGCGTATTTTCGTAACCCTTTATATTGTATTATTTTTTTCCGGTCTATCGAATTGGTCTTCATCATTTACGATGGAGTGCATAAATTTCAATATTCGAGATTATGACATGCAGCATTTTCGCACATTTCAGTAGTATGCGAAACAATGGGAGGGAATGAAACCTGTTATCAGAATTGTATTTGTATCTTCGAGGTGTGTTTTTATTCTTGCCGTTGATAGAGTCGGTTTTTAACAATTGGATTATCTGTGGGAAATGAAGGAACGGTAAGAGAATGAAGAATGAAGAATTTGAATTTTGCTTGTTGCCTTAACGTACCTCCAAGTCCGGAATCCGATGATTGATTAGGAGCAAAAATGGCGCTCGTTCCCGGGACAATTCTCTTTCGTCGTAAGTGTTGTACGACAGTGGTTGACTTCTCGTTATAGTAATTAGAAAGAAGGACATCAGAATCTTGATGAAAACCATTTTCTTGAGTAAAGTTATCTGAAACAAAGAATACACATATGTAATATTTTACGTAATTGCATACGGTATTAATTTTAAATTATTGTCCCTGAAATATAAAAGAATATAATTTATGTTATAAATGCTATGTAGCTTTAAATATAAATTTAAAGGTGTAACTAAATTTCTATTTCATTTCATTGTAAATAGAGTTTGTTTTTTGGCGATTGAACGCAAGAATTGATACAATGATCAAGATCACTGTAGCAGAAACACGATTAATTAGCCTTTTAAATTCCACCTTAAAAATAGGAAATGCAAGATGAGATAAAGAATTGTTTAAACTGGATATCGTCTGAACTTTTAAGGTACGCAAGTGTGATTGCACATAAGCGTGTCGATGATCTTTTGTAATACCTTCGAAGAAACATTCTTCTCGCTTGGAAAATTCTTCAACGATTATCTGGGAAATAAGTAACAGAGAACTTTCCTTTCTGTTTCACGCTGATTTTACTGATTTTGCAGTATGTAGCTAGACTGTAGTTCGGGACGCCATCTCGAACCATGTTTGTTTGCACTGTTAACATCCGCTCCAAGGGGGTGGCTGTTCTTTCGGTACTCCCCTTTGATGGAAGTGCCATTAACCTCTTCCAGTTATACGATACTTTTGTAGCATTATTCTCCCTTTCGCTTTCAGCGTCTTCATAGTTCTTTTTTTTATCTTGGAGAGAACCTGATTCGATCAACTTCTGACAAATAGAGTCACGTTGTGCGCAATCACCATAATTTGATTGTAGTAAAAACATTCTTACAACCACAAATTTATATATAATAATATTATTTATAATATAATATAATTTATAATATATTATAATATATTATAGCATAATATATTATTTATAATATTATTATATAAATTTACTTTCCCGTATTGATAGAAAATATATAAATTGGTAATTATTCGAATAGGGATAGAATATTATTCGAAATAGGGTGCTCAACGCTAATTTCAATGGTCTTGAAATATGTTGTCAAAAGCGCCATCGTGAACAACTTATGTCATCACTGAACACCTTTATTAATTTCCGAGATATGTTTCGTTCAGAAATAAATAAGAAAATAATTGTATATAAAGCCGATATTAATAAAATCGATATCAAATATTTTTGAAATATCCTGCGTTTTGAAAGCGGCTCGTTTATAAATTCTAAAGGGATCAATTTTCCTTTTCCATCTCAATTTTCCTCTTTAACGAGCATGATGCATAAATAACAGTATTTATATATATATATAGTATTTATATATATATATAATAATATTTAGTATCATTTGTTATATATATAACAAGAGGGTTCTATATATAATCAATTTTTTAGTCCAGAAAGTGATTATCTCCACTGTTATCTTGTATTAATATTTTCATGCATAATTTAAGCATTACTATCTTACTTCGAACGATAAGAAATAATTTTGGCTCGCGACGAGCCTGCGAATGATGGCAGACAGATTAGGCGACCGGCTACCAGGTCAATTGCTCCGTTTCGATTGATACGGCTATATTTAGGCGAAGAAGAACGTCGAGCACGTGCTAGCGAAACGGGGTCAAGTTCGATAGTGAATGAATCTGGTTCAACGCGCTGATATAGACGTCAACGATCATTGTTGATGCCGTCAACGACGTCATCGCTGTCGAGTTCATTACCACCGAGAGCTTCATTTGCATTCAGCAAATTAGGGTTCTCGTTCCAATTACGTCAGTTCATCTCGCCGCGCTGCGCCAACCTGTTGGTCAGACCGAACTCTAACGTTTTACCATGGTGTTCAATATCATGTTGCCGCGGAGCATAGATCAATTTTGGACCAAAAGTCGTGTCGTCACTGGAGAAGTTTCGCGTTGAATCATGTGAAAAATGTTGTTGGTGATATCAAACAGTTTGCTATACCGATAAAATAATCTGCAACGAAAATTGTACAGAATTTTGTATTATTGACATGAGACTTTTAATTCATGCCAAATATTATATAATATTAATAATATATATTAATATAATAATATGATACTAATATATAATAATAATAATAATAATATATATAATAATAATAATATCTATATATGTATAATAATATATAATATATATTAATATATAATAATATATTATATAATATTAATTTATATATTCTAGTGAGAATCTTGAAAAAAATTGATTTTCTTTTACATTTTATTGAAGAATATAGGTTCAAAAATACGTATACGAATCTGTGATTTGTAGAATTCTTAGAAAACTGAATTTTTAAAATGGAGAAAGTGGTTAATCCATCATAATACGAATGATCAATATTCATACACAAAACTTGAAATGTGTTCTTCTCGAAAGTATGTTTTTCGGAACGGTGATCATGATATCTTCAAATCTATTTAACTATAATAATTGTTTTTAGACTCCCAATATTGAAAAATCGATAGGAAAAATCGGTGATCTAATTTCAAAATGACGTCATTTTTTTAATCGTCGATTTTTTTCTTCGTTCAGTACCTGCTATAGTCAAAGTCATATTAATTAAGAGTCCTACACGTTTTTCATTTCAGATAAACATAAGTGGTTGCAATCGTGGTCGCGATCTTTTTCAAATTCGACCATCACTTTTAACTTTCTTTTAACTCAAAGAATTTTAAAAGGTTACTGAAACATGCACGAATAAACCTTGCAAATGTAACTGCAAAATTTACCCTAAAATCCCCCTTAACGAAACTTTACGCATTTACTGAATTCAATTCGGTTGAATTTAAATCAACCTAGAGGTACTTGGAACGTTCTAATCTCCGTTAATTTCATTTCATTCAGGAATCACTCGCGTGCATGAAAACGATGACGTTGGAGTGGACTTCGCCGCGAGCTTACCATTTCACTCTAGCCTGTGCATTAGCCCTGTCATTGAATCGCGCTTTGTTATTGTCTTCTGACTGAAGCCAACAACACTATCGTTTTCATTGTACTGTTAAAGGATCATAACTCTATTGATAATGTCGATACTCTTACTGTTCCAAGAATAACATTGAGCTACAGCACAGCAGATGATTCCAGCGCAACGAAGCCGTGGATAGGTTTACGTTGCGTGCCTATTTGAGAATTTCACTTTTGAACTAGGATTGTCTAGCAAAGAGAAGAATTGTGCCCCATAATTGAGCCGTTTATTTTGAAAGTGGCCTAAGTTCATTTTTCAAGAACACACCGAGCCAGCTATTTTAATATTCACATTTCTACGTTGTATAGTACATATAATTTCATGCCAGCAAAGCTGAAAGAACGTAGTGACCCTTAAGAACACAAAAACATTGTGCCACCATGTGATCAATTAGTAATATTTTTAAATTTATTGAAACGTAAAAACCTTAAATATCNATTTCAAAATGACGTCATTTTTTTAATCGTCGATTTTTTTCTTCGTTCAGTACCTGCTATAGTCAAAGTCATATTAATTAAGAGTCCTACACGTTTTTCATTTCAGATAAACATAAGTGGTTGCAATCGTGGTCGCGATCTTTTTCAAATTCGACCATCACTTTTAACTTTCTTTTAACTCAAAGAATTTTAAAAGGTTACTGAAACATGCACGAATAAACCTTGCAAATGTAACTGCAAAATTTACCCTAAAATCCCCCTTAACGAAACTTTACGCATTTACTGAATTCAATTCGGTTGAATTTAAATCAACCTAGAGGTACTTGGAACGTTCTAATCTCCGTTAATTTCATTTCATTCAGGAATCACTCGCGTGCATGAAAACGATGACGTTGGAGTGGACTTCGCCGCGAGCTTACCATTTCACTCTAGCCTGTGCATTAGCCCTGTCATTGAATCGCGCTTTGTTATTGTCTTCTGACTGAAGCCAACAACACTATCGTTTTCATTGTACTGTTAAAGGATCATAACTCTATTGATAATGTCGATACTCTTACTGTTCCAAGAATAACATTGAGCTACAGCACAGCAGATGATTCCAGCGCAACGAAGCCGTGGATAGGTTTACGTTGCGTGCCTATTTGAGAATTTCACTTTTGAACTAGGATTGTCTAGCAAAGAGAAGAATTGTGCCCCATAATTGAGCCGTTTATTTTGAAAGTGGCCTAAGTTCATTTTTCAAGAACACACCGAGCCAGCTATTTTAATATTCACATTTCTACGTTGTATAGTACATATAATTTCATGCCAGCAAAGCTGAAAGAACGTAGTGACCCTTAAGAACACAAAAACATTGTGCCACCATGTGATCAATTAGTAATATTTTTAAATTTATTGAAACGTAAAAACCTTAAATATCTGGATTTTCAAATAAATGGACTTAGGCCACTTTCAAAATAAACGGCTTAATTAATGCTCTGTAAATACAGAACAAGTCCCAAAATGTGAGTTTCGGAAACCTTACAAAGAAGATATTTGTAGAAAGTGATTTAAAATGTTGCTCGGTCAACAAACCGATAGATTAACATGAGAGAAATATCACCGTATACAGTATAAACATACCGTTATTTAAATTGTTAAATTTACAAAGTTGGTTAATTCTCTTCAAGAATAAAAAAAGAAATGCAATACACACATTTGTGCAAAACTTTTTGCGTGAATTTCTAAAATCAACGAAGTTAAAACTTTAAACACGTTCCTCTCAGTACTGTGTCTTTTTAAAACGGAGTCCATGATATTTGAAAATCTGCTTGGACCAATTATTATTTGAAAATCTTTCTTCGAAATATTGTCTTTAAGACAATACATGAGACCGTTTACCTTTTTAATGATCGACTTTTCAGATCAAGAGTCTTCGTGGTTCTTTTATTTAAGATAAACGGACCTTCTTAGAAAGGAATGCAAACGAGAATATGAAGCGTTGTAAAGTCTTGATATTTTCTTGATAAAAAACATTAGAAACGATGCTGAAGTATGTATAAATATACTCTGAACTGTTTGCTGCGCAGTGCGCTACAGTTTTTCAGTGAAAAAAGTTCCGAAGAAACACTAAAAAAACACAGGTTTCGCACTCGAATA